TCCCGTGCCACCGCCAGGTCTGCACCCCGTGCCTGCCCCTGCCCTCCTCCTCCCCATCATCCAGTCCAGCCGCTGGGGCTGGATTCCAGGAAGCGCGGCTGCAGGGTCTTTCTTCTCTGCAGCAGAGGAGGGGGCTGAAGAGAGGCCCCGGTGGCCAGGAGCATGGCCTCACCGTCACAGAAATGGAAAGGGGCCCCAGGGCCTGGCCCGCCTTCATCAGTACTGCCAGCTGAAGCAGGGTGGTTGGGGCCGTCCCTCCACTCAAAGTGGCCCCAGGGAGCCACCTGTGCCGGGACAAGGGTTGCCCCAAGGAGAAGGACTTGGTCCGATGACCACCACCCTGAAGCCTGGAAGAAGAGCTCGCAGCAGGGACAGGGACCAAATGGCCTGCTTGGAGTAGACATTAAGGGACCAGGCTGCAGCCACTGCCCGCCCACCAACACCTGCTCCGTAGCGTGCTGAGAGGGATGGCCGAGCGAGCAGAAACAGCATCGGGCAGCCAGGCCTGGCTCCCCAGGTCCGCAGACCAACCCGTCAGCCCGCCACCTCCCTGCAGACCCTCCCTGTGGGGTCAGCGCTGGCCGCACCTCCTTCCTGTCTGGAGCCAGCAGAGGGGCGACCTCACCTGAAGCAGTGACCTGGCGAGGTGGCATCCCAAAGGGACACGGCCCTCCCACTGAGCGGCTTCCCTGGGGGAGGGGTCAGCAGAGACTTGCTGAGGTTTGCAAAGATGCAGTGAGGACCAGCGTGTCGTCAGAGATATGTGAGGACGGGGCTCCCAGGAAATGACGGCCACCCGGCTGTCCCATCGTGGGGGCCAAGCCCCTGCGACCCACTGAAGTTCTTCTCTGAGTGGAAGGCAGAATAAGGGCCCCAAAGATATCTTCACCCTCATCTGCAGAGCCAGTGGAGACACCACCTTACATTGCAGATGGGATGAAGGACACGGGATGGGAGGTGAGCCTGGGTGGGTCATCGCCAGGGGCTCAAGCGGTCAGGGGAGGAAGGAGATGTGAGTCAGAGCAGGGAGCACGGGCCGTGCTGCACCGCTGGCCTTCGACACGGAGCCGGGGCCCTGAGCCAAGGGATGCAGGTGCCTCCAGAGGTCTGGGAACGAGGCTGCCCTGCCGTCTCCAGAGGAAGCAGCCGGGCCCACGCCTTGATTTTGACCCAGGGAGACCCATGCTGACCTCCGACCTCCAACACTGTAAGACAATAAAGCCAGAGGCCTTCCAGCCACTACGTTTGGGTCCATTTGCCACAGTGGCCACCGGAGGCTGACAACCCCAGGAATTCAACCGCTGGTGTCGGAGTCAAAAAGAGGCAAGCGCTGATCAGCCCTCGGAAGGCCGCTGTCCACTCCCAGACAGCAGCAGAGGCGCCGGCGCGCCCCAGGGGCCTTCTCGACGGAAGGGGCGTCTGAGCTTCCACCCCGGCTGTGCCTCCTCCCGCTGTGGATCCGGGCTGGTGGGACGCTCCTTTCCCCGTCTCCTCAGGGGGGCACAGGACGCTGCTTCAGGGACCCAGTGTGAAGGGCCCAGGTGACGGGTGCGGAGCCCATGACGCCCCTTTCTCTATCGCCTTCCTCTTAACCTCCACCTGAGCAGGGACCCGCTGGGTCCTCACTGCCTCGGGTGAGGTCCCCTGAGCCGGAAGGATCTGACCCATGGGACAGGTAAGGACATGTGTGGGAGAGACCCCCCCATCACAAGCACCAGGGCCAGGGCCCACTCCTCCACCACAGGCGGCCTCGCGGTGGGTTTAGAGGCTCTGGAGGGCTGGCTCGGGGCTGGCTGGTCACTGCTGGCATCAGTCGGGGTTAGCAGGGTGGCCTCTCTGCTTCTCTGAGATTGTGCCTTCACAGGCTCCAGCCCCGGGGCGGGGCAGGAGGCAGCAGGGAGCTGGCCGGCCGAGACCCACTCTTCCCCGTCCGTTCCTGCACCGCGTGGGTCTCCCGTGGGAAGTGGCCGCGGTGACATTGAGCAAGGCGCATTTTCCTGCTAATGGGGATTTCCCTCTCATTCCCCGAAGTTTGGGGTGGAAGCTGCCAGATGGAAACTTCACTTTCACGCAACGTTTCCGGCCCAGTTCCCTGTGTAACGGGCGATTCAGCAGGGAGCCCAGCCCAGCTCAGCTTATGAAGAAAATACATCTACAGAGAGCTGCGGCGAACGGGCAGCGGCCACTCGGCCCTTCTGCTTCTTAAAGAAAAACATCTCTTCTCTTTGCTGACACCCCTCCCCGCCCGCAGCAGAAGCCTCCAGAGACTTGCAGCAGCCTGGGGGAGGGGCGGGGGAGCTCACGGGACCCCCCCCACCGCCAACACACAGGGAAGCTGCATCTGACGAGGGGGAGCCAGAGCAGATGCTGGGGGGCTTGTGGCTTGTTCTCCTCCGTGGGCAGGTGGGGCCTGCCTGAGAGGGGCCGAGGCAGGCTGGGGGCGGGACTGGGAGCACCCGGCTCTCCTACTATTTACGGTGGGAAGATAAGAATTTTTTTAACTGCTTTTCTTTATCTCCAAAATACTCTTCAATAGCACACTCCATCTAAAAGATAACAAAATAATCTCCTGAAAACGAGAAGCCTCCTTGTTGGGCTTATTTTTTATTGAGACTCTTGGTCCCATTGTTGAAAAGCAATGAAGGTCCAGAGCAGCTAACAACACTTCAGTCACTGAGTTTCTTCAAAGAATGCAAATGTTTTTCTCCACTTACTGTTTAAAAGTTTTAAAGACAGAGACCATACAATTCTGTTAAGCGCGCCTCTGACGTATTCCAGACGGGTGTGGGGCGGGGGTCTGTGAAACGGGGGCGGGGGGGTCCATGAAACGGAGGGCAGGGGTTCGTGAAACAGGGGGTGGGGGCCATGAAACGGGGGGGTCTGTGAAACGGAGGTGCGGCGGGGAGGCGGCCCTGCCTGGTCCCTGCCCCTCCAAGGCCCCTAGTCCCTCCTGACTCACTCCCAGGGACGTCACCTTGTCACTTGCCCAGGAGTGCCGAGGTCAGAACGGGCCGGATCCTCACTTGCCAATGGCGTGAGGCCAAACAGCCGATCAGCTCGTGAAAATAGAGGCTGGAATTCTAAAGAATATCCAGAGATGACCCCGTTCCCCACCGTGCCTGCCAGAGAAGCAGCCGGGCAAAGAGCAGTGAGCAGGCGCCCAGGGGCACCGGGCACAGTGCAGGGACTTCCTGCAGCCAGGCTAGCGCTGAGGGCTCTGCCCAGAGCAGCACTCTCAGTCGTGGGGGCCCGTACCAGCCCACTTCTCAGATGAGGAAACCGTTTTCAGAGAGTTGGTGCTGCCCACCATGGCAGAGCCAGGACTCCACAGGGATCAGCATCTCCCAGGAAGGCTCTGGGGAGGGCGGGCGGCGGGCGAAGCTACAGGGCCTGACCCCACATCCACCCAGGTCTGCCCCGTCTGGCCACTAGAGAGCATGGGGAAGGAGTGAAATGGGTTCCCGGAGGGTCTCGGTGGACCTCAGGGGGACTCTCAGCAGCGGCTGTAAGCGGGAGCTGGGCAGAGGGCTCGCTTCCACACATGCGCGGAGGACCCTGAGCTGCCACAGGCCTCCATTCATGTGACCCGGGCAGCTCTGACAGTTTTACGCTGGTGACATCTCAGCAAGTCAGGGTGGTGGCCCCAACTGGGTCCTGCTGCGGGAGACAGGGGGCACAGGTCGGCGGGGCGTCGCCAGAAAACCCAGATCGCCCGCCCCAATCACCGGACAGGTGTCCAGACAGGAGGTCACGGTGGTCCGTGCTGCCTGCCTGCCTGGACCAGGCTCTTATCTCCCCGTGTGTCCTCATCCAGAGCCTCAAGGCAACCGAGGCCACACCCGAGCTGGGGTCACGCGGGCAGCCCTGGGAACCCAGGGAAACGCGCAGGTCACGTCTCCCCGGCCCACCTGGACTTTCAAGGTAGATGCTGAGCGGACGGAGATTCACAGCAAGGTTGGCCTGAACCCAGCCAGAGCCAGCCAACCTGGCGGACCATCCTCTACCCACTGGGTGGCAACATGTCTACCTGTTAGAATTATTTTAGATCTAAGAGCATGTTAACATTTTTTGTGCTGACCGATTAAAACTTTATATAAACCTCAAGGTTGTTGTTTTGTTGTTTCAATTAAAAATTCCAACTCGAGAACCTGAGTTTAGGGGGTGGCCTTTCTGATCCAACACCAGAGAAAAATCTGTGGAAGAACTGATTAACAAATTCCGAGTAAAATTAACAAATTCTACTCTGCAAAAGACACTATGAAAAGAATGAAAGCCAGCCACAGAATAGGCAGAGTTTTTAAAACTCAACAGTAAGAAAATAAACAACCAGCCGGGCACAGTGGCTCACACCTGTAATCCCAGCACTTTGGGAGGCCGAGGCAGGCGGACCACTTGAGTTCGAGACCAGCCTGGCCAACGTGGTGAAACCCCGTCTCTACCAAAAAATTCAGAAATTGGCTGGACATTGTGGCCCTCACTTGTAACCCCAGCTGCTCAGGAGGCTGTGATGGGAGAGTCCCTTAAACCCGTGCAGAGATTGTGTCACTGAACTCCAGCTTGGAAGAGAGAGGGAGATTCTGTCACTAAAAAAAGAAAAAGAAAAAAGAAAACGAACAACCCTATTAAAAATGGGCAAAAGGCCAGGTGTGGTGGCACACACCTGTAATCCCAGCTACTCAGGAGGCTGAGGCAGGAGAATCACTTGAACCCGGGGGGCAGACGTTGCAGTGAGTCGAGATCCCACCACTGCACTCCAGCCTGGGCAACAGAGCAAGACTAAGTTACAAAACAAGAAAAAAGAAAGAAATGGGCAAAAGACCTGAACAGACACCCCGCCTAAGATCTACAGATGGCATACTTGCCTATGAGAATATGCTCCACGTCCTCCGTTACCAGAAAAATGCAAATTAAAACAACAAGATGCCACCACACACCCACCAGAACGGCCAAAACCCAGAACAGGGACAGCCCCGGCCTCGGGCAAGGACGTGGAGAAACAGGCCCCTCGGCCGAGGCCGCTGCGAGACAGGCTGGCGGCTTCTGCCACACGATCCAGCAGGCGTGCTCCTGGGTACTTACCCAGAGGAAGTTGAAAGGTCGGTCCACACACACCCGCGGGGGTTGCTACACGGCAGCTCTATTCATCATTCTGCCCACACTCGGAAGCAGCCGGGAAGTGCTTCGGGTGGTGACTGCTTCACCTGGACGGTGGAATCATACTGAGTGTTAAAAAGAAACGAGCCTTCAAGCCATGAGAAGTCACAGAGAAACATGCTGTTGCTAATTGGAAGGAGCCAATCCAGAAACGCTACACGCTGGGCCATCCCAAACACCGCATTGTAGAAAAGGCAAAACTGTGGACCCAGTGAAAAGATCAGAGGTTTCCAGGAGTTTGTGGGAGGGAAGCAAGGGCAGGGTGTTTAGGGCGGTGGGAATCTTCCCTGTGAAGCAGAAGTGATGGTGGGTACAGGACTTCACAGTTGTTCAAACCCACGGAACGTGCAGCATTCAGAGCGAAGTCTGACCTGCAGTTCACCGTGGTGTGAATCAGTATTAACTCACCCGTGCTATCCAACGCCCCACACCGACTGGAGACCGCAGTAAGGGGGACGGGCCCGTGGGAGCTTCCCGGGCACTCCATTCTTCCGTAAACCTAAAACTGGCAAAAATATATATATATGAAGTCTATTAACGTTTTAAAAATTAGAAAATCAAGCTACAGTTTTTACAGTTTTCTGTTTTGTTTTTTGATATGGGATCTTGCTCCGTCACCCAGGCTGGAGGGCAGGGGCGCGATCCCGGCTCACTGTGGCCTCGACCTCCCGGGCTCGGGTGATCCTCCCACCCCAGCCTCCCCAGTAGATGGGATTACAGGCGTGCACACCACACCAGACTAATATTTTGTATTTTTTGTAGAGACAGGGTTTTGCTGTGTTGCCTAGGCTGGTCTCAAACGTCCAGGCTCACGTGATCCTGCCTCAGCCTCCCAAAGGGCTGGGATTCCGGGCATGAGCCCCCACACCCAGCACAGTTTTCATGTTACCTTCAGTACTGAGAGCCTCGTGTGTGCATGGTTTGGGATCCAGAAAGCCAAAGTTGTAATAAAATAATCAGAATATGATGGGAACAAAGCCAGAACAGCCCCAAGGCCCGTCACCATCCCCCACTGGCCAAGAAAGACCCTGTTCTGCCCTGGGGCTAGGCTGCCTGAAGCAGGCACTCAGGTGAGAGGGGAGGGGGCTGCTGGAGTGGGGGTCTGTTTGCCTCACTCCCCAGCATCCCCGACGGACAGGTGCACTTGGCCGTCACACCCAGACCCGGCTGCCTATTCGAGGCCCGGGGGAGGCAGAGGGCAGCGTGCGAGAGTCAGCAGGACTCCCGGGGGCTTTTGCCTCGGCCTCTAAAGAGACCCCACCCAGTGTGCATGGGCCCCCAAACGTGGCTCCGGAGAGGCCACGCTGGTGTCTGCAAGCTGAAAGTTCCAGGGTTCTGGGGAGTCCTGCTCCCAATCCACTCTATGCCAGGAACAGACCCCCCACATCGGAGGTGAGGCCCCTGGGGGGCTCTATGGTGTCATTGAGGGGAAGAGCCCCTGGTTTGAACTCCAGATCCAACACTCAAAGGGCTTTCAGGCAAGTCCCTGGCCTCTCAGGACCCCATCGGCAAAGTGGAGCTGAGGACCCCTGCCCTCTGCCTCCTCTTCCTCCAAGGCTCACAGATAATGGGGCGGGGGGGGGTGGTACTTGGAGATTCCGAGCCCTCACCCACAGCTGATGTCCCCAGAACATCCGTCCTCTCTACCACACCCACCAGGGCTTAGGGCGGCCAGTGACAGAGGGCTCTGGACCTTAGCAGAAATGGGGCCTGGCACTGGGGACCCTGCAGGCTAAGCCCCTCCCAAATCAGTGCGGTAGGGTTTGGACCCCAAAGGCTCAACGCCACCCCTACTCCCAGGACCAAGAATCATTTCTTAACTGGCCCTGTGCCTCTGGGCCCAACATCCAGCGCCACGGGGCCCGAGAGCCACCCGGGTCTGTGTCTGAGTTCTGGCACAGAGGGGTCGTGGGGAGAATCTGGTCCTCCCAGCTTCAGGATGGAAGGCAGGGCCGTCCACGCACCAAGACCCACACACATCCGATGGCACAGTGGCCGTGGAGGGCAGAGCAGGGCCTGCTCCTGCTGGGTGACTGGGATGCCACCCCCAGAGGATTAGGAATCCTCCCCCCACTGCCACCGGGCCCATCACAGACATTCCCACTGGTCACCAACCAGTGCTGCCATCTCAGGACCCTGGATCCCAGAAGCATTTGAGTGGCCTCAACAGGTGGGTGAGTCCAAGCCCCGGCCCTTCCTGCCAGCTCACGGCTCAGCCCGGCTCAGCCTCAGCACAGGACCAGACGGGCACCTGCCCAGGAGGCCCCACACGCCTGCCCCGAAGTTCCCAGGGGCTCTCGGCATGAATTGGGGGCCTCCAGTCCCCAGCATCCTGTTCCTGGGGCAGGGGTGCAGCCAGTCCTCAAGAGAAGACCCTGGGCTGGCGCCCCCACCCCAGCCTCTTTCCCATGCTCAGGAGACTGACTTCCCCTGGGGGGAACTTGAGAATCTCCAGGAGTGACCTGAATCTTGGGGTCCTCAGAGGAACTCAGAATCTTCAGACAGAACCCTGTGGTCTCGGAAGGGCCGTGTGGCCGGGTCCCTACCCTCCAGAGTCCTATGGTGCCCAGCTAGGGGCCTGGCTAGGGAAGCCTGATCTTTGCCAGCACCACCAGTAACAAAGATGACATTGGGGTCCCTTCACAGAGGCAGAGGACTTGTGCTCCTGGTGGCTCCTTGGGGAATGAACACTCGCCGAGAGCCCGGGGGGCCCAGCCAGGCAGTGTGGGAAACCTGTGATGGGAGCGTTCAGGGGCCGAGCACCGAGACAAAGGCCTGGGGACACCTGGGACCGTCCTGGGGTGGGGTGCCCTGGACACCTGCCTTGGTGTCCGTGGGTCCCCAAGCACAGCTGCAGAATCCGAGCTGGGTGGGGTGGCTCTCCTTCCTGAGCAGGCGCTGGGGTCCGGGGTCAGCCTGCAGGCCTGCCTGTCCCAGGACGGTAGTGTCCTCTTCCCCTGACAGCTGAGCTGGCAGCTGCCCTGGCTGGCTTTTGTGTGCTGTGCTGGGACGGCCCCACAGGACACCCACATCCTGTGGTCCCGAGAAGACCTCACTGGCTGGGGGCCCAGGGATCCTGGGCAGACCTGCTGTTCTTCTTGGGGGTGGTGGGAAGGGTCGGGGGGATGGGGAGGCTGTGCAGGGATGGAGGAGGCTGTGCAGGGGGTGGGAAGGGGGAGGTTATTCGAGGGGATGGGGAGGCTGTGGGGGGGTGGGGAGGCTGTGGGGGAATGGGGGGCTGTGGGGGGATGGGGGAGGCTGTGGGGGGATGGGGAGGTTGTGCAGGGGGTGGAGGAGGCTGTGGGGGGGATGGGGAGGCTGTGGGGGGGATGAGGGTGGTTGTGAGGGGATGGAGGAGATTGTGGGAGGATGGGGGAGGCTGTGGGGGATGGGGAGGCTGTGGGGGGCATGGGGAGGCTGTGGGGGGGATGAGGGAGGTTGTGGGAGGATGGGGAAGTCTGTGGGGGGATGGGGAGGCTGTGGGGGGATGGGGGAGGCTGTGGGAGGATGGAGGAGGCTGTGGGGGATGGGGAGGCTGTGGGGGGGATGGGGAGGCTGTGGGGGGATGGGGAGGTTGTGCAGGGGGTGGGGGAGGCTGTGGGGGGGATGGGGAGGCTGTGGGGGGATGGGGAGGTTGTGCAGGGGGTGGGGGGGGCTGTGGGGGATGGGGAGGCTGTGGGGGGCATGGGGAGGCTGTGGGGGGGATGAGGGAGGTTGTGGGAGGATGGGGAAGTCTGTGGGGGGATGGGGAGGCTGTGGGGGGATGGGGGAGGCTGTGGGAGGATGGAGGAGGCTGTGGGGGATGGGGAGGCTGTGGGGGGATGGGGAGGCTGTGGGGGGATGGGGAGGTTGTGCAGGGGGTGGGGGAGGCTGTGGGGGGGATGGGGAGGCTGTGGGGGGATGGGGAGGCTGTGGGGGGGATGAGGGAGGTTGTGGAGGGATGGAGGAGGTTGTGGGAGGATGGGGAGGCTGTGGGGGGATGGGGAGGCTGTGGGGGGATGGGGAGGCTGTGGGGGGATGGGGGAGGCTGTGGGGGGCGTTGGAACTCACGGCACCCACTCTGCAGGATGTGGGGCGACCTGTCTAGTTCTGGAAACCCGCTGTGGCCCTGGGTGAGGGATGAGTCGGGGGAGGCAGTGAGGACGCTGCGGCTGAGGCCCACGCCCGACAGACGGGAGGTCACCCGGGGCAGCCCGGCCCCCTGAGGTCAGAGCTGTTCTCAGGGAATGGGTCTGGAAGGTCGAGGGTGGGAGGCGCTGCCTCAGTCTTCATCCCTCTCCTGGGAGCCCGCCCTGTGATCCCCGCGATCTGGCACAGGCCCCCCCTCCCCACTTCCCAAAGCCCCTTCCTCCCCCGTTCAGTGGCTGTGGAGACCCCGTGGGGTCCTGGCCGAAGGCCGCTGGGGCGAGGACAGGCTCTCAGCATCAACTCATTGAAGATCAGAAAGCCGAGGCCTGGCACGTTCTCAGAGCTGAATGTGGGGACGGGGCTGGAACCCGGAGGGGCTGGTTCCACAGCCCTCACAACGAACCTACCCACTCCGTCATTCATCCATTCGCCCACTCATTCATTCATTCTCCAAGCCTCTGACCTCCTCCTGAGTTCAGTCATTCACAGACGTTCTCAGGTGCCTGCGGTGTGCCGGGCTCACACGGGGTGGGTGGCTCTAGTCCCATGGAGCTTCCACGACGATGGACCCTGGAGTCAGAAACGCACGCCTCAGCGAGCTCCAGACACTCCTGCTCTGGCCTACGTGGGACAGGGCCTCTGACCTCCCAGGACCCCTCAGCAGGCTCCGAGGACCATGTCCCCAGGTGGGCAGACGCTCCCTGGCTCCCCACAGGTCCCCCACTCCCTGCCCCTCACAGCAGCCAGCGTGCTGGCCATGCCTCTGCGGTCTGTGCCTCTACAGTGTCCAGTGCAGGATGGTGTCCCGCCCAGGGCTGGGTGTACCGGGGGCTCAGGGGTCTCAGGCTGGAGGGCCACAGGCCCCCAGAGTCTCCTGCCGGGTGGGAGTCAGAGGTGGCTGTGGGTGTCCCCAGGCTGCACACCCAGCACTAGTGAGCCCGCAGATTTGTGCTGCAGACAAACAGGCCCGTGGCGGAAGGGGCCGTTGTGGATGCCCCCAAGGCCGCTGAGTGGTCACCACCTGGAGTCTCCACCCTGATGGTCAGCAGAGGGACCAACCCTAGGAAGGGGCCGACTCGGGCTCCTGGCTGAATCCATCTGGAATGTGTCCCTTCGCAGCAATAAGATACATGTCTACAGTTTACTTTTAACTTTGGGACCTGGAGAAGCTCTCGGTTTGAGCAGGAATTATATCATTGGCTCAGTTAATGCCAAGACTACGCCACGTGCAGCAGTAACGCAGCACCTCTGAAACTGCGGCTGCAGCCCGGGCGATCTCCGCTCTCAGGCGCCTGCCAGGTACTAAGTACCCAGAAGCTGTGCCTTTTCTCCTCTGCCTCTGCGGAGGGGCAGTGCCCCAGACCGGAGACCTCAGGTGTTAGGAGCCAGTGTGGGGCCCAGCGAGGTGGCACAGGTGGGCGCAGGGCCGCCCACCCCTTTAGCCTGCACCCAGCTCTGTGGACCACACACCCAGGGCCGCCTGGCGGGAGCTCGGGCTCTGCGCCACACCCGGCTCTGCGCCTCTCCACCCGGCTGCCCTGATTCTGCTTCTCACTTCCCCTCCCCGACGCGCATCCTCCACGGGGCTGAGATGATGTGGAAGGCCCTCCTTTGGCCCAGGCACCTCTGACCCAGTGGCCACGGGTACTCCTGGAAGGCTTGGCCCCGGCGGTGCACCGAGGGAATCATGACCGTGACAGGCCAGGCTGAGCCGCAGCCAGCGGACAGGCACCTCGGACGGGGCCCTCGGACGGGGGCCTCTTTACCTCTTAGTTCAAGGATCCCTTTGAGCACCTGACAAAAGCCAGCTCCCTCCCAAAATCCCCCATGAGTTCAGCCCCAGGGCACTCTGTAGGTAACCTGAAGGGGACCACGGCTCTGAGTTCAGCCCCAGCTGGATGGTGCCAGGGCACTGCCCCAAGGCAAGCCTCCGTCACTCCCTAGGAGCAAAGCCTGGGACTTGACGATCCTGCTCCAGCCACCACCACCCTGTGCCCCAGTCACTGGGAACCCAGGTCCAAGCCACCCTCCGAGCACCAGGCATGACTTCAGAGTTATATTAAGGAGCAGCAGGGGTGGGTGGGGAGGGATGTCTGTCCCCAGAGGAGACCAGTTGTCAGAGGAGCCAGACCTAACCTCCTGGTCAGCTGATGAGCTTCAGTTACAGTCCTCAGCAGCCTGGACAGGAGCAGCCGGGCGGCGAGTGCGTCCTGCCATCCACGCCGAGCGGCTGCAGGGATTGATCGAGGAGAGTGGTTTTCCTGTAGAAATGCATTTACCATACTCAGGTTAAAAATAGCCACGGAGCCAGAGCACCGAGGGGCAGCCATGGAGAGTGGCCTCGGCTCCCTCTGCTTGGGTGCAGGGAGGGCCAGGGAGGATGCAACCGAGACAGGCCTCGGCTGGGCTCCGTGCTCCGCTCTGGGGTGCCCTCCACCCTTGCTGGGACCTGGAGCTGGTGGACGCCAGCAGAGGCACGAACTCCGGGCTCTGCGGCTGCACCTGCCACCTGCCCGTGCAGAAAGGCTTAACCACCACAGCCTTCAGGGGACCGTGGCAGCAGGGACTTGGGAGCGGCTGCTGCCCAGGCTTCATGGACAGCCACTCCACTGCCACCCAGGCCGCCACCCCAAGCCCTGCGTCTCTGTCCTCCTCAAGGTCACGGCAAGCGAGAGGCCAGTATGGCCCGGACCCAGGCACCGCAGCGCTCCTGCCACGCCGAGTGTCCTCTGGCTGTTTTCCCACTGCACCGGGACTGGATGGCCTGCCCATGGGCCGTGGGAAGAGGCGACATTTTGGGGAAGCCTGTGCCGGCCCCAGTAGAGCAAGGAGGAGCTGGGTACCTCGTCATGGCTATTTAAAGCCTGGAACGGACAGGCGCAGGGCGTGCAGGGGGATCTGAGTTGGGCTGGAGGAGGGCTGGCGTGGGAGGCTTCACGGCCTGGGACAGAAGGCACCCCAGAGGCCCCTGGACACCCCTGCATGGGGGCCAGGGTGGTCTCACCACATGCCGCCGGGGCGGGAGGGTGGAGCCCCAGCACCCGGCGGGGAGGAGGTGCCAGCTGGGTGGGGCATGGGGTGTGGCGGAGCCAGGACAGCCTGACCCTCACAGGAAGCTGAGTCAGGCTGCAGTCCACTGTCTTGGGCCAGCCTGGGGGCCCAGAAGCCATTTACAGGGTCCCTGAAAAGGCCAGAAAACACTAGCTCCCTGACATGGAACATTCTCTCAGCAAGGCCAAGCCTGTCACGCTGTACCTTTCCGAAACGTCCTCATCATCAGCGGGGCTGCTGCCCGCGGCGGGCCCGGCCCTCCCCGGGTCAGGTTGAGGCACTGAGCCAGTTTCTTCACCAACCTCAGTTTCGGTTTCCTCATCTTTACAACGGGGGCAGGGCGGCACCCAGCCTGCCTTGGTCAGGGGTTCGTGGCAGCAAAGGGCCCTGGACAGACAGGCACGCTGGCGCATGGCTCACGAGTGTGAACGGTGAGGGGAGGGGTGGAGGGTGGGAGGGCGGTCAGGGAGGGCAGCGGCTCACCAGGGGCAGCTGTGCTCGGGTGCCATGGGCCTCTTTCCTGCCTTCCTGCCCCAACTCAGGCCCTGGGGCTGCAGGAGGAGCCTGACCTGGCAGGTGAGGGGACCCACAAGAGGGGATATTCCTGGAGAACGTGCTGAGTTCTGGGAGTAGTGAATCAGCAGAGGGTTGGAGGGGTGGAGGGTGGAGGGTGGAGGGGTGGAGGGTGGAGGGGTGGAGGGGTGGAGGGTGGAGGGGTGGAGGGGGGAGGGATGGAGGGGTGCAGGGGACAAGCTTTTGAGGACAAAATCAAGCTGTCTGTCACAAGCAGCAAGGCTGGAAAAGCACGTGCAGAGCAGAACGGCCTCGGATGGAACGGAGTGTCACCCACGGGCCACCTCCACGTCACCCCCCCGGGCTCCAGGCGCTAAGAGGACGGATGGAGCCGCCTCTGCACAAGCTGCCCGAGGCGTGCAGAGCCGACCGCAGCCCGGGGCCGTGGCGGGACCCCGGAAGTGCTGGCACAGGACACAGGCAGACGGCTCTCGGCTCTCAGCTAGGGCGAGCTTCGCCTTCGCCCTGCACCCCGCCACCCCAGGCTGGTCGGCACCACCTGTCACCTCTGTCCGCTCTGGACAGTCGTGCTGGGAGGAACCCACTTGGAGAAGCCCAGGAGCTTTCTCCCCGCCTCAGCTCTGCGTGGGCTTGCCGTGGGAGGACAGAGGCGCTGAGTCGGACCCTTCTGCAAAGCAGTTGTCCCGAAGCTCTGGGGCCCATCCTGAGTTGGTGGCCTCTGCACTAACCCAGCTCTCACTGAACAGATGGGGAAACTGAGGCCTGGGGAGGGATGGGGGCTCCCTGAAGTCACCCAGCAGGCAGGTAACAAAGCCAGGACAGGAGGGGAGTGGGACAGAAGACAGAGGGAAGGAGCATGAGGGCACCCAGGGCCCCCATCCCTGGCCATCTCGAAGGGCACTGCATGCCCTGTCCCGGCCTCCACCTCAGGAGGAAATCGGCTGGGGAAGCCTCAGAGACGCGGGGGCGGGGCGGGGCGCTGTTCTGGAAGCCCCGATCCACAGCCAGGACCACTCCTCTGCTGACTTTTAAAAATCCCCATGGATACATTTTCAGAGGAACTACATTTCTTTTTTTAAAAGAAAAAAAAAAAACTATGGATAGGGCAGAAGGAAAGACCATGGAATTGCCCCGATTTATGCCCTCGTGGCGCATTTGCTGTAGAATTTCATGTCTACGTACGATCCCGGCAGGTCCCACCTGTTCTCAGCCCCAGTGGCTCCCAGCTCTCTGCTCCTCCTGGCTGAACCACGGGGTCTGAGCCCGGGCGGATGCAAGGCCCAGTGGCCTCTGGGGCCCCAGAGCACATCGGCTGGCTGGACTGGAGCCCAGCTCTATACCCGGGCAGTGGGGGAGGCTGGCCGGGCAGACCACGCCACACGCTGGGAGGCTCCCGGGGTCGGGGGGTGGTCTCCTGCCCAGGACCCAGGACCAACCTGGGGCCCTGGTCCCCTCGTTCAGTACTACCTGGAGAATCTCTGAGACCCTTGGAATCAGCCTGAAGACAGAGTGTCCCTGACAAGACCTGACCTGAGGGCAAACCCGCATGACACAGGCACATTTCGGGAAGCTGTCAGAGTCAGCCTGGGCCAGGGTCTCCCTGCCCGCGGCCCCCCGGGCAGGTCAAGGTGGAGGGGCAAGCAGGAGCTGGCACTCAGCCTCATGTCGGCCAGCCAGGCCCTCTGACCCACGGCTGCCCTTGGGATGAGCCAAGCCTCACGTCCAGGGTATGTGGCAGGGACACAGGGGCCAGTCCACAGCTGTTCTGCCCAGGAGCGTGAGTAGCAGCCCTGCTCACAGCAAGTCCACTGTCCTGGGGGCAGCAGAGGGAGAAGCACGGCTATGGAGGTGACCCTGGGTGGCAGCTCCTTCCCCTCAGAGAGTGCTGAGGACAGGAGTGCTGTCTGTGTGGAGCGGCAGACTCGAACGTGGCCAGGTTTGGCCTGGGAACCGCTGTGTCAAGAGGTTCTCGTGCAGCCTGGCAGGGCCCCTGCAGAGCTGTGGCCGGCACAGAGTGCTCTGTGGCCAAGCATCCAGGGCTCAGCAAGGGCCAGAGCTCACCCCGTGCTCTGGGGGCCCCACACACTCCTTGAAGAGGAGCAGGAGGCACTCAAGCCCCCACCGTCAGGGAGCTCCGGGAACCCCCTGCCTGAGAGCGGCCTTTGTGCTGTTACTTGCCTGCTTCAGCAGGGCAGGGGCCGGCTCCTCCCTGGCACAGAGTCGACCTCCGGCCAACGCCAGCAGGCTCCTTGTCCTGCCCTCTGGGGCACTGAGCAGACCTGTGACGTCCCCCACACAAGAAGCCTGCTGAGCTTGAAATCTCAAGTACCTGCCTCAAATCCCCGGGGAACGCGCTGTCGTCCTTGAGCCCGGGGGGCAGTCCCAGCTTCCCCAGCTTTGGGGCACTAGGCCAATGCCATGATCCCACTGGACCGTGAGCCCACGAGTGTGGGAATTGTCTCCTCAGCCTTTGGTCAGTGACTGACCATAGTAGGTGCACCTGGGCTGGCTCATAGCAGAGCACCCACCAAGTCCCACCCAAGATGGGGCCAGCCTGAAGCCCAAGATCCCTCATGGCCCTTGGAGGGTGATGGTGGAGGATGCAGATAGGAGGGGCAGAAGCCCCCACCCGGCACCAATGAACAATAAATGGCAGGACTGCTCAGTGAGAAAGCCCCCAGAGCCGTCACTGGAGCCATCATCCAGCAGGTGAATTGAAATTATAGGAGGGTGTCTCGCGGAGTTCAAATAGAGCTCAGGAAGGTGGAGAATGGGAGGTCTGCGCCAAAGGTACAGGCAGGAGTTTTCAGAGAGAACCACTAAAGGGTAAAAAGGAGGGTTCTTCTAGAATTAATCCCCAGGCTCTGTTCTGACCTTCTGCTATTCAACAGCCAAAAGGCCAGAGCCAGTAGGGACAGAAAAGTGGACACTTTCAGACAGCAGTTTCCCGTGGCGTGGTGGGTGCTGAGATAACGATGGTGACGGTGACGGTGACAGTGACGGTGACGGTGACAGCGATGGTGATGACTGAAAATGGTGATAATGGAGATGCTGATGATGATAATGACGGTGATGATAGTGAAGATGGTGATGCTGAGAAGGGTGGTGGTGGTGTGATGATGATGGTGATGGTGATGATAGTGGTGATGATGCTGGTAATGGTGGTGATGCTGGTGACGGTGGTGATGATGGGAATGATGGTCGGGTGCTGATGACGGTAATTGTGATGATGATAGTGGTGGTGATGGTGATGATGATAGTGGTGGTGATGGTAATGGTGATGATGGTGATAGTGATAGGGATGACAGTAATGATGGTAGTGATGATGGTGATGGTGATGATAGTGATGATGTGATAACAATGATGATGGTGATGGTGGTGATGGTGGTGGTGGTATGATAGTGATGATGGTGATGATGGTGATGATGGTGATAGTGATGATGGTGGTGATAATGAGGATGACAGGAATGATGATGGTTAATATGATGATAAATGTGGTGGTGGTGGTGATGACAGTGATGGTGATGATGATAGTGGTGGTGACGGTAATGGTGATGATGGTAGTGGTATTGGAGATTATGGTAATGATGGTAATGGTGGTAGTGATGATGTTGGTGATGGTGGTGGTGATGATAGTGATGGTGATGATAGTGATGATGGTGATAATGGTGATGGTGGTGGTGATGATGGTGCTAGTGATGATAGTGGTGATGGTGGTGATGGTGATGGTGGTGGTGGTAATGGTGATAATGAGGATGATGGGGATGATGGTGGTTAATGTGATGATGAAGATGGCGGTGGTAGTGGTGGTGATGATGGTCGTGGTAGTGATGGTTATAATGATAATGGTGCTGATGGTGATGGTGGTCGTGATGATAGTAATGATGGTGACAATGGTGCTGATGGTAATGATGATGATAGTGATGTGGTGGTGATAATGGGAATGATGGTGATTCATATGATGATGAAGATGGTGGTGGTGGTGTGATGATGGTGGTGGTGACGGTGATGGAAATAGTAGTGGTGGTAGTAATGATGATGGTAGTCATGAGTGTGATAGTGGTGGTGATGATGGGGATGATGGTGATGGTGGTGGTAACAGTGGTGATGGGGATGGTAGTGATGGGGATGATTGTGATAGTGAGGGGATGATGGTGTTGATGGTGATGGTGGTGGGGATAATGGTGGTGTTGATGATGGTGGTGTGGAGATGATGTTGATGGGGATGG